GGGGGACACCACGGGGGACCCCATGGGATGGAGGGACAGCAGGGACACCGTGAAGGACACGTGGGATGGAGGGACACCACAGGGAAACATGGGATCAGGGGACACCACGGGGGACACGTGGGATGGAGGGACACCAGGAACACCATGGGGACATGTGGGATGGAGGGACACCATGAAGGACACGTGGGATGGAGGGACACCACAGGGAAACATGGGATCAAGGGACACCACAGGGGACATCATGGGACGGAGGGACACCAGGAACACCATGGGAGACCCCATGGGATGGAGGGACACCAGGGACAGCATGGAGGACACGGGGGGATGTTGGGGCTGGAGAACACCAGGAGGGACACCCCGGTGGGAACACCAGGAACCGGGAGGGAAACCGGGAGGTGACACCTGGGTGGTGCCACCAGGGGAGGTGACATGTCCCCACCCCTCACCCCCCCAGAGACAAAGCAGGAGCTGGAGGACCTCACGGCCGACATCAAGAAGACGGCGAACAAAGTGCGCTCCAAGTTGAAAGGTGACCTTGGGGGGTGACCTGCACCACGGAGGTGGCCACCTTGGGGGTGATCTTCATGATGGACGTGGCCACCTTGGGGGTGATCTTCATGACGGAGGTGGTCATCTTGGAAGGTGGCCATCTTGGGGGTGATCTTCACGGCGGAGGTGGCCACCTTGGGGTGGTCATCTGGTCCATCTGGGCTACCCAAGCTCTGCTGCGGCCATCTCGGTGTGGTTCTGGGTGGGGTGGGGTGGTGACACCCCCCCCCGGGGGGTGGTCAGGGGTGGAGGGAGGTGTGACGCCGTCCTCTCCTGCAGCCATCGAGCAGAGCATCGAGCAGGAGGAAGGTCTCAACCGCTCCTCGGCCGACCTACGCATCCGGAAAACGCAGGTATCCCTCCACCTCCTCCTCCTCCTCCTCCTCCTCCTTGGTGGCCACCAGCAGGAGGTCCCACGGTGTCACCTCCCCGTGTCCCCCAGCACTCCACACTGTCCCGCAAGTTCGTGGAGGTGATGACGGAGTACAACGCCACCCAGTCCAAGTACCGCGACCGGTGCAAGGACAGGATCCAGAGGCAGCTGGAGATCAGTAGGTGGTGGGAACGGGGTGGAGAAGACACCGGGGGTTGGGGGGGAGGGGGGCGTCACCCACCGTCACCTCCCCCTCTCCCTGCAGCCGGCCGGACCACCACCAACGAGGAGCTGGAGGACATGCTGGAGAGCGGCAAGTTGGCCATCTTCACCGATGACGTACGTGTGGCTCCTCCGCCCCCACGGCCGAGAACCCCCGGAGGTCCCCAACAGCCAATGGGGCACCTAGAACCCAACGAGCCCCCGGTGGGGACCAATGAGACGCCCCAACTGGCCCCATCACTTGAAAACCAGGAGGTCCTCTGAAGCTCCTGGGGCTGGTGGAGGCGCCCATCGGGTCACCCAGAACCCGTTGGGTCACCCAGAACCCGTTGGGTCACCAGAACCCAATGAGATGCCCCAAATTGCGTGAACTGTGAGGTTGTCTATGACCCAATGGGGTACCCGGAGCCCCATTGGAGACCCTCTTGGAGCTCCGCCCCACGGCCCCACCCGTCGCCTCTCTCTCTCTCTCTCTCTCTCTCTCCCCCCCACGCCAGATCAAGATGGACTCGCAGATGACCAAACAGGCCCTGAACGAGATCGAGACGCGACACAACGAGATCATCAAGCTGGAAACGAGCATCCGGGAGCTGCACGACATGTTTGTGGACATGGCCATGCTGGTGGAGAGCCAGGTAGGGGGCGGGGCGGTGGGGAGGGCTCGGACCCACACAAAGCCCCCCGAGAGGTGCTGGATCCCGTGGTTCCCCCCCACCTGGAACCCAGCGAAACCCCATATTTAGCGTTCATTGGCTCACCTAGGTGCCATCAAAAGCTTTTGAGCCCACCAAGGCTCATCTAGAACCCACCAAATTCCATCATTAGGGCTCATTAGCTCATCTAGACGCCATCAAGAGCTCTTGAGGCCACCAAGGACCATCCAGAACCCACCAAATTCCATCATTAGGGCTCATTAGCTCATCTAGACGCCATCAAGAGCTCTTGAGGCCACCAAGGACCATCCAGAACCCACCAAATTCCATCATTAGGGCTCATTAGCTCATCTAGACGCCATCAAGAGCTCTTGAGGCCACCAAGGACCATCCAGAACCCACCAAATTCCATCATTAGGGCTTGTTGGCTCATTTAGACGCCATTGAAAGCTCTTGAGCCCACCAAAGATCATCTGGAAGCCACAAAAAGCCACTATTAGGGCTCGTTGGCTCACCTAGATGCCACTGGAGGCTCTCGAGCCCACTGAGGATCACCTAGAACCCAACAAAAACCATTATTAGGGCTTGTTGGCTCACCTAGATGCCATCAAAAGGTCTTGAGCCCACCAAGGACCATCTAGAACCCACCAAAAGCCATCATTAGGGCTTGTTGGCTCATCTAGATGCCATCAAAAGGTCTTGAGCCCACCAAGGCTCATCTAGAACCCACCAAAATCCACCAGTAGGGCTTGTTGGCTCACCTAGATGCCACTGAAAGGCCTTGAGCCCACCAAGGATCATCTAGAACCCCCAAAAAGCCATCATTAGGGCTCATCGGCTCATCTAGACGCCACCAAGAGCTCTCGAGGCCACCAAGACGCCATTGAAGCACCTAGAACCGGTTGAGCCTCCCCTGCCCCCCCCATTTCCTGGTCGCCCGGGGCCGGGGCGGGCGCCTCAGGGGTGGGTTCTCGTCTCCCAGGGCGAGATGATCGACCGCATCGAGTACAACGTGGAGCACTCGGTCGACTACGTGGAACGGGCCGTGTCGGACACCAAAAAAGCCGTAAAGTACCAGAGCAAAGCCCGGAGGGTGAGTGATGGGGTGGGGGTGGGACGGGGTCCTCACCGCGGGGTGG